AGGTGCTTGGAGACTGTATTGTTATGTAATGTGAGACTGTGTGGTTGTGTCTATAAAAGCAACACTTCGGGTGCGTTTACCTCTAAATAAAATCATTTTAAATCGGGTTAAACTAACAGAATGTATGTGTAATATAATATAACCCTAATATAAATATTTGCCACATGAATCTTATTATGTCATACAATCTGAACCTGCTGCTCTCTGTCTGTGCAGCCAGTGACGTGGTGCTGGGTGACGGTCTGGTCCTGCTCAGCGCCGTCCTCTACGCCGTGTCCAACGTGTGCCAAGAGTACACGGTGAAGAACCTGAGCCGGGTCGAGTTCCTGGGAATGATGGGACTCTTCGGGACCCTCATCAGCGGCGTTCAGCTGTAGGTTAATGTTTAAATCCCTCACATGTTTCTCATTTATAGGACACTCGCCTCCAGATAACAACCAATGTCTAAATAAAGTTCATCTTTATTTAGTTCTGCAGATATCTGAGCACATTTTTGTGGTTGAGAGCAATTAAATTGAATAATTCTTACAGTTTGAGATTCACAATATGGATTTTTCTTCAGCCGATTCAATAACCGATAATTACTTGCTTCTCATGACTGATAATAAGTGATAATTTCAAATTTTTGTTATTTAAAAAGAAGTTTATAAACACTTCATGACAAGAAACAAACTGTTATTTCTCTTCAAATGTTTTTCTAATAAATTTAATCCAAAAACTTAATAAACATACAGGCCAGTAATTTATCAGCTGTAATTTAATTATCTAATTTATAATTAAAACTACATCACTCGTTAGCTTGATAGTTACATCTTATAACTAATGTTAGCAACTAACGATTAACAGAAAAACAACAAAATGTGTCTTTTTTTAAAATTCATAATAATACAACTTTCACATTTTCTGCCAATAATTGATCTGCAACCCTCAGTTCAATAGATATATAGATATATAAACAGATAAAAACACTCTCTGCCATCAAAATGTCTTAGAAATAAGACAAATACACAACCATGCTATAAAATACACGGCGACATTTAAAGATTTGTTTGTGTTTTAAGAGAAAAATAAACTATTTTCTCCACCGTGCTAATGTTTGTGTTGTTTGACATTGCAGAGCTGTTCTGGAGACTCGTGCAGTGGCTGCAATAAAGTGGGACTTTCACATCGGTAAGTTCACTTTAAGGGAGTGTCGAGGTGTCTGTAATCGGGTTAAGGAGGAACTTACCAAAGAAACAGAATAAGATCATTATTTAATATTTCCCTGCAGCCACTCAGAAGTATTTGATTGTGTGTTTGATGAATATCAGCTGATTGTCAGTCTCATTGTGCTGCAGCGATGCTCTTCGTGCTCTACGTCCTGTGTATGTACGGACTGTACAGCTTCATGCCCGTGGTGGTGAGGATGACCAGCGCCACCGCGGTCAACCTGTCTCTGCTCACCGCCGACCTCTTCAGCCTCTTCTGCGGCCTCTTCCTCTTCCGCTACACGGTGAGCGGCTCATTCGTGCTTTAATGTGCTCGATATCAGTTTGTATAACTTTATAAAGAGCAGACTCGTCCTTCGATGTTTGATTTCATTTTCAGCAGCAGGAGGTGATTATTGATAATTGTTCAAATGTAGCAGAACATCTATTAGTAGCTGTAATGTTCACACGATCAATGATTAAGTACATATTTGTCTTTAGAGATGTTTTGAGATAGTAAACCAAAAATATTGGCGGAGGTCGGCCTCCATAAGACTGTACATGTATTCAGTTTTATTTTACCATTTTAGTCCAGTTATCCAGGTTGAATAAAAACAGGCTTCCTCCTTTGTGAGTAATTGCACCGTAACCTACAATCTGGTTTATTTTTGTTAAAATACATTTTATGATTGGTATTCATTGGTCACTTTTCCAAAAAACACAAATGACAAAACAATACATAAGTACAAACGTATGAGACGGCTCAGAACAACATAATAAACTTTACAATAGGATGTTGTTTAGTTAGAGCAGTGGTTCCCAACCTTTCTCCCTTAAAGGACCTCGTTTCTATCATTTATTAAACTGACTCAGTAACATATTTTATTGATATATTTAATATTATATTACAAACTGTACAATGAACCCAAACAGTGAACTCAGTAACTGCAGGAGGTTTGAGTAAAACGAGAGATTTGGATGAATTTTAAGCAGATTATTTCCTGTTTATTGAATTTTTTATATAATTTTCTGTCTGTTTTGTTTAGTTTTTAGTATTTTTTAATAATTATAAGACTTAATAAGCGTCTTTTTGACAGATTTAGTTTTTTCCTGTTTTATTTTCTTCGCAGAAGTGAACAAAATCCTGAGCGGCCTACGGTGTATATTTTTTTTTACATTTTCTAGCACACCTTAAAATCAAGAAGGCCTTGTGACCCCACCATTAAGCTTTAGCGACCCCTAGTTGGGGTCCCGACCCTCAGGTTGGGAACCACTGAGATAGACAGAAGCTTCTCAGATGCTTTGGTGTTGCGATTATCCGTTCAGCTTTGCTCGCTAGTGTCCATTTCAGTCGTAAACGACATAAGAATACTAGCTTAGTTTACGAACAGGCCACTAAGTCAGGCTGATAGTGGAGTGCCCTCTGCTGGATCACAAAGGAAACTACCTCAAACAGTCTTTGGTGCTTAAATATTGTACATCGTGAATTAGAAACAGGTATATTAGTATAAAATAAATGTCCAGGTACTGTTATTGTACGATACGCAGCACTAACATCTCCTATCTTGTGTCTCGTCCTCAGTTTTCGACCCTGTACATCATCTCCTTCGTTGTCATCACTTTGGGTTTCGTCATGTTCAACGCCGTTCCAACGTACTCCGCCCTGCCGGAGTCCGGCTCCAGTGAGGACGACCCCGCCGCCGACAACACGGCGGAGAGCTCCTCGGACCGCCTCCTGACCGCAGACGCTCGGAGGACGGAGACGCTCACAGAGGTCGCCGCGTTGTGACCGAAGAGAAGAAGGTCTTTTCTGATTGGGAGAGAGACGGTTTCACGTTCGTTACAGAAGAAAGTTCACTTTGTTTTTAGTTCTCTGACATCGTTTTACATCATTTGTGCTGGTTAAAATGAAAAAATTACACTTTTTTTTATACCTTTTTTATGTTTTTAAAGATATTTCTTTATCAGAAATGATTTAATATGATCTGTTACTGCACTTATACGGACGTCAGCGTATACAATGCACCGATGTGGCTGCTATTTATTGTCCCGAAACACTGATCAGTTACTTGTTACTTTTTTATATATTAATATATTTGATATTTTACATCAGCAGTATCATTATTGTTGTTGTTGTTGTTGTTGCTTTAAACCGCTCTGACGGACCAATCACGATGTTGTATTTTCCCTTTTGTTGCCAGAGTTGCTGTTACTTCATATCCAGTAAAATCACATGACTTTCTTTGCCAAAAGTAAAACCTTTTTTACTATTAAATTAATTTTATATTATCATGGTTCATTTCTCTGTTACTTTACACTATAAATGTTTCTGTTTTGGTTGTTTTTACATACATTTAATACAAGGACGAAGCCTGTGTGGACGTATCTGATATAGTGAAAGTGAAACAAACGAACCTCAATAAATTATATTTAAAATAATTAAAATAAAAAATAAGTGGCTTTACAGCCGACCGAACGGTGAGTTTATATAAAATGATATAATATTTAGAGTTATAACATCCTTCCTGTTAAAAACAAACAGACACTGGTCAAAGCAAACATGGCATCAAATATCCAATAATATTTAGCTTTTTGTGAATTATTGGATCATTTTTTGACCTTTTTCAAACTTATTTAAATTAAACTGTGAGAAATGTAGAAGGGAAATGTGTCTTTGGTTGAACTGTTAACAGCTCAGACATCTAAAATATAATGAGGAACTTCAACTAAAGATAAAGACTGTTAAAAGGTTTGTATATTTCCACATTAACACATTTTACTCTGATGATACTCGGACTAAAATAAATAAATAAAATTGTATTACAAGCTGAAGTAAAATACATTGTGCTAATAATACAGTGCATGATGTTTATTCAAGTGTTTATTTTTCTGATAAGTTTAATTAGTTATTTGAAGCTATAAAAACCTGATCACTGCAGAAATACTTTATTGATCCCCAGTGGGGGAAATCTGTTTAGTTCCAGTTGCTCACAAGACATTAAAGAAATACAAAAAATAATAATATATAACACTAAAACATATGTTTTACGATATCTAACACAATATATAGAGGAAATAAAAAAATAAAATCTATATAT